CAATAAATATGTCATAAGCAGTCAAATATAACGTTTATATATTACTATCTACATGTCTCTATTCCAGGTAGAACATAAAATTCATAAAGACGTCATTATGACATTATCATGATTTTATTCAACATTTAAAAGTTTTCTAGATATGTCCAGATAACTTTTATGTGATAAATAAAATTGTGATAGTCATAATGACGTCATTACGAGTTTTATGTTCTATCTGGGTATCATATTACGAATAGTCAAACTAATGTCAAAATTATGTCACGATTTTGACATAAAAAAAGCGTCAAAAATTTATGCAACTTGACATCATTTTGACGAACTAAAATTTGATTATATTTTGACATCATTTTGACATCATTTTGACATCATTTTGACATCATTTTGACTTTTTTGTTCTCCTTGGGTATGTCGCCAAATTCTTGTCACGCTTTTTTTCGCTACTCGCCGGGCGCGACCAAGAAAGAGGCGGCTTACGCGGACAATACGCGACCGTCGCCGTTCCGGGCGGATCGCCGGGACGGGCGCTAAAACTGCAAAAGGCTTGTTTTCTGTTCTTACACTAGTGAACTAGTGCAATAAATTAGAGCAAGACAAGCATATATTTTCTCATTCTACCTTACTGCACTAGTTCACCAGTGCAGGAACAGAAAACAAACCTAAAGTTGGGCGCCAGACGCGCTCGCGGGCGGCGTCGAATTTCTATCGCGAGACGTCTCAGAACACGGCGAACGCGGCGTCGATTCGCTCGACGCGCGCCGCTCGTCAGCCTCCTCGACGCGAAAAGGGCCGGCTGCTCTTTACCGTCGGCAGAGTGGCTGGTCACGGGCCCGCGGGAACGGGACGGCGGGACAGGGCGCGACACACACACACGCGCAGACGATCACACTGAAATGAATCCGACTCGGGATTAGGAAGTATAGCAGACGATTTAATGTTCCGTAGACAGCAAAGAAAAGGGGCCTCCGCCGAGGCGAACTCGCGATCCGTCGGTCTCCGGCCTCCCCGCGGGAGGCCACTCGCGCTCGCGACACGTAACTCTCGACCGACACCCGGTGTGCCGGTTCGCTACGAGGCGGAAGTCGCCGCGAAAGAATTCCCGGACGCGGACGAAAGCACTCCCGCTCGAACAACGATATTCGGGGCGCTCGTTCGACGCTCCCCTCCGAGGTCGCACTAGCCGATATCCGCCCGCGACTGTCCCCCGATAAGCCCACGGCCGATCCCTGGGAGCTCCCGCGCTTGGCACCGCCGTTCCGCTCGCAACACGAAATGGTCGGCTCCTACTCCCCCTTGGAGCGGACGCCCTACGGCCCGCAACACTAAGACGAACGCGGTGCGATGCCAGAGCGCGAGCTAACCCTCTCGGAAGCACGCGGCTTTTACATAAGAGTCTGTCCCTCGAGGGCCACCTCACCGGTACGCTCCCTGGATCCCACGGCGCTGTCCCAGTCGGCAGTCTCCTCCTCGATCCCTCGCTACGGCCTCGGCACGGAACGTGGCCGGCACTCGGATCACCGGCTCCGTTACGCGCTTGGAGATTCGATCCGATTATTAGGGCATTCTTTACTTCCTCCCATATCCTTATTAGGACATTCTTTACTTCCTCCCTATCGGGCCTTGACCATACATAAGGCATGCATGATTTTATTTCTACTCGGGAAACGAATTGCGTGCCCGCGCCGCTTCGCACACAGTATTATTCTTTCTCGATACGCGTTCGCGACAAGTGCGGGCAAAAACCGTGGTCGCTCTCTGCGAACAATCAGTGATTGATATCATCGTGCGATCGCTGAATTCCCGCGATTTGCCACTGCTCGATGTAATCGAACAGTTCGTAGTGGCAATCGGACTCACAATCAGTGACAATCGGACACACTGAAAACCGAAGAAGTGGCATCTGGATACAGTGTCAGTGACAAGTGACTTTACAAATGGAAGTGTGAATTCGCGAGTGAAGTGGCATTTGGATACAATGACAGTGACAATTCACTTAACAAACGGAAGTGTAAATTTAGTCTTCATGGCTTCCGGACGCGGCAACCATCCGGAAGCCATGAAGACTAAAGAAGACAACAGCCGCGGAAGTGTAAATTCGCGAGTGTGTCGGCGCTACGTCATTTCTTGAAATCCGCGCTCGATTTTCGGCCGAGGTGTTTACGGTGCCGTACACAGGATTATTCACACAGTTGATCGAATTGATTGGTTGTGTCCGCGCCGCTTCGCATATCGTATTATTCTTTCTTGATACGCGTTCGCGACAAGTGCGGGCAAAAACCACGATCGCTCTCTGCGAACAATTAGTGATTGATATCATCGTGCAATCGCTGAATTCCCGCGATTTGTGTCAGCGATTTGTGCGGGTATCAGTGCGACGATGTAATCGAACAGTTCGTAGTGAGCAATCGAACTTGTCAGTGACAATCGGACACAGTGAAAACCGAAAAAGTGGCATTTGGATGCAATGACAGTGATAAGTGACGTTACAAACGCAAGTGTAAATTCGCAAGTGTATCGGAGGACAGCTGAGACAACGACACCTGAGAGGAGGACACCCGAATGGAGGAGGAGGCATCGGGCGCCATTGCAGATACAACTCCGCCGCTGCACATCGTGTCGGTGAGTGAAAAGTTTTTTATTGAAGTAACGGAATCTACATTTTTAAATCGTAGATTGTAGATTGATTGACATTTCGTAGATTGATTGACATTTCGTAGATCCGTTACGTTAAAATGGAATTGATGGAAATGAATAAAATGGATTAAAATGGATAGGTTACAAATAATTTTACGTTTTATTTTGTAATCCCGTCGGGTACATTTACATGCATTGGCGCGCGCGGCGGAGCGGGGAGTAGTAAGTAGGAGGGGGGACCCGAAAAACGAAGGACATGACATGCGTAGTAATCAGTAGTAGCTAGAACCTCTTGAGAGGAAGTTCGGTAGATTACATCAGAAGTGGGATAAAGAACACCAGCGTCGAAATACGGATTGAGTCACCAAAAGGAAAATAGCGAACCTGTGTGTGATTCCCGAGGTATTGTCGATTCCGATCGAGAGCAATGAGCGACGCGCTAAACACCAAGACCATTCTACGTAACGAGCTTGCCGAGCTCAACGTCGAATTCCCGCTAACCGCCACGGTGCCGCAATTGAGAGCACTGTTGCGCACTGCCCGGGGTCTAGAAAACTCGACGTCCAACAAAAATCGGCCTGAAGCCGTGGATACCACGCTGGCCCAACCGCACGGTAACGAACCTAACCCCAACATGGAGAATGTTCCAGTGAGCGAGCCTGCCACCGATGCCGCGCAGATTGTGTGTAGTGAATCCTCGCTGGGTTTTGTGCCATTGCCTCCTGCGTCGGCATCCATTGGGGATTTGCCGGCACCTGGTGCGGCCAACGTGGGGCCGTCATCGGTTGCTGAGCCGCCGCCGCCCGTCGCCCGTGTGTCGCTGCCTGCCACTAGTATGCCTGATACCGATGTGGCCACACTCGAAGCTATTCGTGAGGAAATGGTGATGTTGAAAGCCCGTCGAGAATTGTTGCTGTTGCGAGCTGAAGTCAGCAGACTTGAGCGCGACACCGCTCGCGGCGACGGCACCGCCGCCGCCATCGACACGTCCCAAGTTGCCGGTCCGCTGCCCGTCACGGCCTCGCTGTTGACCGCACCGACGTCTGTGGTGCCTGCCATTGCCGTACCGATTGTGACCGCCGTCGCTGAGTCAACAATACCCTCCGCTGCCGGATCAGTTGCGACATCAACCGCTGCCATGGAACCGCCTGCCGCCAGCGGGACGCATGCAGATACTTTGCAGGGGGCTCTGAGTGCGGCCATCGGTTCAATGAGTATCAGTTCCTTGCCTGAAGCCGCCGGCAGCCGCCCGATGATTAGTATCAACGATGTCCGAGGGATAATCAAGACATATAGCGGCCAGGCCGAGGTGAATGTGGTCGAATATTTGGACCAGGCCGAACGATTCCTATCCACGATGAGCACATCGGACGTATGGAAATTCATGGCACTACGCAGCTGTTTGACAGGCGCCGCTGAGTCGTTCTTGCTTGGCTCGGATTGCAGGACGTATGAGGGGCTCAGGGACGCTCTGATTCGAGAATTCAGCCGCACGTGGACGCACCAGGAGGTGTACAACAGACTACGCGCTCGTAAGTGGAACCGCGCATCTGAGTCGCCTCTCATTATGCCATCGAGATGCGGCGCATCGCCGATTTGTCGGGATTGCCCGAGAGCGAGCTCGTAAATTGCGTGATCCAAGGAATGGAATTGCCTGCTGAGGACGAGACTTTGTTGTTTACCGGCACGCCAGACGGTACCATTGTCCAATTGCGTAATGCCCTACAGCGCCATGAGCGGCGTATCATGGACAATGCCGGTAGAGCTGCCTCCACCAGCCGTGCAACCAGCACTCGGACGACAACCAGTGGCAGACAACCTGCTCGAACCGGCGCTGCTGGGTCATCCGTAAATTCGTCAACCCGATGTCAGAATTGCCGCCGTACCGGGCATGCCGCCGAGAATTGCCCGCACCCGAAGCGTCCTGCTGACGCTTGTTATCGCTGTTGGAAGAGTGGCCATCGCCTCCAGAGTTGCCCGAACGAGTCGGTGTTTCGCACTCAGCGTTTTCCAGCCAGTGTGGTAGCCGCCGTCATAGACGAGACGGCCGAGTCTGGAGAGAACGGTGATGATACCGTGCAACCGGTCAACAAAGTGGGTATCGTTTTCACTACTAGGGGATTTAATCAGAATGAGCACTCCCGACTCATGAACTCCCTTTTTGACACGGGTAGTCCAAAATTAGCTTCATCCGCCAGTCGTCGCTGCCCCAGGAGTGCCAGTCAGCCGCCTGCGAGCTACCGATGCGCGGAGTGGGGAACGGAAAGATCGTCGCTATGGGAAAGGTCGCCGCCAGAATAACCTTTCGGCACAAGAGTTGCCAGATGTTTCTTGCTGTGTTACCATGTAACGCCATGCGAGTTCCAATGCTCCATGGCCGAGATTTCTTAGAGTCCATGTGCATTGATTTGAATCTCAATAAACGGCGAGATGCTGACCCTGAAAATAAATTGTTGGCCTCTGCTAAATCCATTGTGAGTAAATTGCCTGATGTCTTACCCGTGGAGGCATCTGAGCCTGCGAGTGTCGCGCCTCGTGCACGACATCAATCCGAGCTAATCGCGCGTACCTCTGAGTTAATGCCCGTCGTCGATGACACCATCACCTCGCCGGCCAGTTCCATTTCCTTTGATGCCACCGCTACACCGCCGAACGAGTTTACCTGCCCTGTCATATTTACCGGTGAAGTCGAATTGGGTGACCGCAGCGTCACTCATGAGCTACCCGAAGTAAACATTAGTACTGAATTGCCCGATGCAGATCGCCGGCGCGTGTACACCATTATTCATGAGCATTATATTGCTCCCGTTAACCTCGTTGTTGCGCCTCACGAGTACGAGATGAACATCAAGCTCACGAACGATACGCCGTTTTACGCTTCGCCCCGTCGCCTGTCTTACCACGAGAAGGAAGAAGTCAGAAAAACACTTGACCGCTTGCTCGCCAATAAAATTATCCAACCAAGTCGCTCGCCTTATGCGTCAGCCGTTGTTCTGGTAAAGAAGAAGGACGGATCTACACGTATGTGTGTTGATTTCCGCCCTCTAAATAGCCTTACAGTCCGCTCCACCAATCATCCGCTGCCGTTGATCTCCGATTGCCTGGATTATCTCGCCGGGAAAAAATGGTTCACATCATTGGATCTCAAGGACGGATTTTTCCACGTGAAGATGGCCCCGGATTCAGTAAAGTACACGTCTTTTGTAGTGCCACATGGGCAATTCGAGTATTTGCGAATAATGCCTTTTGGCCTGAAGTGCGCCCCTATGAAGTTCCAGAAGTTCATAGCCGAAATCTTCCAAGACCTGATCAGCCAGAACAAGATCATCGTCTATATGGACGATCTTCTCCTAGGTACCGTCACGTTCGAAGAGCATTGTACTCTCCTTGCCGAAGTTCTGCGCCGAATTGCTGAGAAAGACCTTGAGCTAAAACTGAGCAAGTGCCGGTTCGTATGCAGTCAGATTGATTACTTGGGTTTCACTGTCAATCACGATGGAGTGCGCCCGAATGACGGACATATCAAGGCCATTACCGCCTTGAGTTACCCGAAGAATGTAAAGGAGATGCAAAGCTAGCTGGGGCTGTTCCAATATTTCCGAGTCTTTGTTAAGTCATTTTCAGACATTGCCAAGCCACTGCGTAGCCTCACTGTGGAGGGAACCCCGTTCATCTTCAACGAACGTTGCCGGGAGGCCTATGACGAATTGAAAAGAAGGTTGGTGAGTGGGCCCATCTTAGCGCTGTATGACCACAACCGCGAGACTGAATTACGCTGTGATGCCAGCAAGCTTGGGTTCGGCGCTACGTTAATGCAGCGTCAGCCAGACGGAAAGTTCCACCCCGTATCCTATTTCTCGCAAGCTGCCACACCCGCAGAAAGCCGATATCATAGTTGCGAGCTGGAGACGCTAGCTATGATCTACGCATTGAGGAAATTCAGGGTATATCTGCAAGGAAAGAAATTTTTGATTGCCACCGACTGCAATTCTTTGAAGTTGACGTTGGAAAGAAAACAGATGAATCCTCGCATCGCCCGTTGGGCATTGGAGTTGCAAGGTTACGATTACACGCTTCAGCACCGCCCGGGCATTCACATGAGCCACGTTGATGCTTTGAGCCGCTGCCACGAGCCCGCCCATGATGTAGCTAAAACGGTAGAGGTAAGTGTGGCCGAGGAGGTCGAAGCTGACATAAACTGCCAGATTGTCGCTGCCGTGGACGAAGAGGAAACGAGTTTTCATGTACAAGTTGCCCAGCCCAGAGACCCGCAGATCGTCAAATTGAGAGAGAAATTGGAGAGGGAGCCGGTCGCCGGCTTTCAGATGAACAATGGTCTGATTTTCAAGGATAGCGCACCTGGCCGCCCGCAACTATACGTCCCCGCCGAGATGGAAGACAATGTGATTCGCGTGGCCCATGAAACCATAGGACATATGGCTGTGGACAAAACCGTAAACCGGTTGAGGTTACATTATTGGTTTCCATCAATGACCACCAAGGTCGCCCGGTTCATCAGTAATTGTATAAAGTGCATTATGTATGCCGCACCGGTGAAAGCCTCTGCCAGAGAATTGCATAGCATCCGCAAGGAGCCTGTCCCATTCGACACACTCCACGTAGACCATTTTGGACCTTTACCGGCCGTCAAATCCAGTCGCAAAAACATCCTAGTCGTTGTGGACAGTTTCAGCAAGATCACCAAACTCTACCCTGTCAGTTCCACCAGCACAAAAGAGGTTATCGCCTGTCTTGAAAAGTTCGCCGGTTATTACGGACGGCCTCGGAGAATTATTAGTGACCAAGGTACGTGCTTCACCTCGCTCGAGTTTGCCAGCAGAATGAAGGAATGGAACATTGAACACGTAAAAGTCGCCGTTGGATCGCCTCAAGCAAATGGTCAGGTTGAAAGAGCCAATCGTGTCATAAAGAGCATTCTATAAGGTAAGACCACCGAATCAAGTGGACACACAGATTGGGTTAAAAAATTGCCTGTCGTTGAATATGCCTTGAACAACACAAAACACAGCTCCACTGGATATTCAGCCAGCGAATTATTGTTCGGAGTTCGCCAGCGCGGACCATCAACTGATCCATTGTCCGAGTTCATCGAACGTGAGTTCCAGTCAGTTACACGATTGGATCTGCCCGTTGTCAGGGCCGATGCAGAGCGAAACATTGACAAATCGCAAAAGTACAACGAGGACTACATAGCAGAAAGAAGCACCTTGGTTCGCCGATACGCTGTCGGAGACTTTGTGGTAATGACCAATGTGGATGTCACCATCGGTACCAACAAGAAGCTCGTGCCCAGTATAGAGGTCCATATGTCGTGTACAAGGTCATTGGGAACGACCGGTACGCTATCAAGGATATCGACGGCTGCCAGCTGACCCAGAAACCTTACGACAACATCATCGAGGCAGCCAGGTTGAGGCCTTGGGCTCAACCCATGCATAGTACATCAGTGGAAGCTGAAAGTGACGCCGCCGAGAAAGTGATCGGGACGATCATGTTGTCAGGAAAGGCCGAGTTGTAATCCCGTCGGGTACATTTACATGCATTGGCGCGCGCGGCGGAGCGGGGAGTAGTAA